GTCAATTTTCAAATCACGCGTCTATTGCTTATAGCATTGCATTCATGTGATCGACCATTCATTATGTGAATCACCTTTTTTCAATGCTATAAGCAATAGACGCGTGATTTGAAAATTGACCAGTACTCCAACGTCTCTGGCCATTTGCCGATTTTGACATGGATTTTGACATCTGGTAACTATTCTGCACATTTTAATACCAATATCAATAGGGTTGGCCATTTCCCCCAGAGATAATTCCCCCCTAAACATTATAACTTGCACCTCGTTTGCCCTAGGTTTGCCCTGAGATACGATTAGCTTTAGGTAATAGATTTAAGTTTACTTATTTGTAATTTGTAATAATAGAAATAATGAATTAATTGTTTCGTAAAATTAATTGTTATGTTTAATATTACTAATTTAATTAAGGAGCAGAAAATTGTTCAATTTTTTCATAAATTTTATTATATATAAATATGATAAATTTACGTGATAAAACAATAAGACTGGCCACAAAAATGTAAGTTAAAAAATTCAATTTATTATTATAATAAACAAACTTGTATAACCTAGTTACCACCATTTATGGTGCTTAAATATAACCATCATAAAAATGCATATGATTTTAATGGTGGTATTGATGCTATACTTTTGGATACCATTGGAAAACACTGGAACATAAGCTATGATGTTGTTTATTGTAATGAGAAAGATATACTTAAACCAATAAACAATACATGGTTTGGTATTATGGGAAAACTTACTACAGGGGTATTGTTTTAAATATTGTTAAATTTTGTGACAACTTTTCAATTCATATAAAAGTCTTGTGTTTTCAGTCCAGAGCTCTTCCAACACATCATTCACTAGTATTTTAGACATTATTTTAATCACAAAAACTATAAATTAATTGTGATTTTAATTGTATTTAAACTCAAATTCAATTCAATTGAGTCTCAAATGAATGACTCTTTGTTTGCAAACAATCACTCGTTTTCATAACAAATGCACAGAAATAACGATTCAATAGTGAAATAGGGATAAAAATTCAGTGAAAATTAATAAAACTTTTAATAATTATTTTAATTCAAATTAAAGAATTACAAATATTTAATTAATTAAAATTTATATAAATATATAGATTATGTAACAAATTTACATAACAAAGGGTTTGTTTATTTAAATATTTATAACTAATTATTTAGTTAAACTATTTAGTAAAAAGTGATCACAAATTAAATTTACATTTCATATAAAATTTAATTTAAATAGTTTAACGTTACGGAAGCGCCGCCGCAAACAATTACAACCACTGTTCAGAGTATTGGCCACTATTATTGGCCAACAATTTGTCTACTAAACTGATATAGACTTAACACGTGATAAATTAAGGGGGAAATGTGTTAAGATATTACCAAAATGACCATAATTTGTAGTTCAAATAGTCTAACATTTTCAGCAAATTAGTGTATTTTCAAATAAAAGTAAATTCATTGTAATTAAATGCTGAATATTTTATTGTTTAAACAAACAGTTTAAGAAAAAATTTTGAGTATTAATTTAGAAACAATTAAGTGTTTAAAATAATATGTTTAGTAAAATATACAGTAACATGCCCATTTTACAAGAAGGGCAATTTGGATGCGACTGCCAGTGCGCCCAACTCTCCGAGTCGGTCCAACTCCAAGTCCAACATTTTCAGATTAGCGCACTGTTGGTCAGGCGTTAGTGCTTTGCTTTCAGAGCAGGTCCTGCCGGTGGCGTACAAATCGCCATAAAGATTCTTGATCTAAAATATAAATCATTATTAATTATTACCAAGTTTAAAATATTACAAAATAAAAAACATATGGCAATCAATTGCGCGCAAAACATACCTGCGTTACGACGGATGCCATGGGGGGAGAGGCACCCTTGAGTAGGACACCGCCCACACCCATCACCGACTCCAAGAGTGGCAGTTTGACAGCGAACTGAGCGGCGGCGCCGCCGTTGCGGTCAAAGAAATTGCATTGAATGATGTCGTCCACGTGATTGGCCCGATAGGCCTCGTCGCACATGATCAGTTGAGTCATACCGGCGATCTGTTTGGTGGCCGTCGCCCGTTGGTCAGCGCTGGTGGCGGTGCTCAACACCTTTGGTTCACCGGTTGGGCCCATAATGTCCAGCACTCCCGGGCCGTAAACGGTGTTGAAATTGTTATAACAGACGAGTCCCTGGCGTTGGGCGGCGGCCGCTCTCTTGGCCACCATAGCCGAGGCGGTGACCAAATTTTGTTGAGTCAAATTAAACAGCTCTTCCTCACTGAGGTTCTCGAGGGCTGCGGTGCGCTCTTTGGCACATCTGATGAACTCCTTGTTCTCGGCTAATGTGGCCGCAGAGGCAGCTGTTTGGGGGTAAAGTTACCATCAGTTGTCGTGTTTATAATGAATTACGCTTAGAATATTACCGATAGCCAAAGTCATTGCAAAAACAATGGTTTGAGTCAACATTTTCAGTGTTTTTAGTGATGCTTTTAGACAATCAGTGAAATACAATTGAAAATCAAGTGAAGTTTCAAACCAGTAATTATCTGCTTATATATTATTTTTATTTTCTATACGATTTACACTTTTGGTTATTAATGGTTTTTTGGACAAATGTTTTAATGTGTTGTTCACAATAAAATTGATTGTTTTGATCGAATCAGTGTTTACGTAATGTGAGCAATATTATCATGTTTAATACAATTAATCAGATTTATTTCTTCTTGCTACTAAAAATATGTTTTTAAAATATAACAATGTACAAATAAATAATTTATCTAGTATGATTTAGTTAAAATAGGAATACATTGTGCACTAATAGACTATTAGTAATAGTTATCAATTTTAAATGTACGGAATATTACATGTAAGAAGTATGAGATCACATAATTTATTTTAAAATTGGGTGCAAATTGTTATATTAATTATACCCAAAGTTAACCATTATTAATAATTCATTATGTATCACGTTAAAACATGTTTTGTGTTTTAAACTCAAATGCTACAATTTACAGCACTGTACAGTACTGTATATAAAATTATTTACTGCTAGTATATACAGGATGTTTAATTACCAAAGCCCCTAGAAATAAGCAAATATGTGTTATGCATCACTGAAAAATAAGTATAATTTTTTTCACGCAATAATTTCATACACTGTGAAAAGTTTATAAAACACTTTATAAAAAGTAATAAAATTGAAATACAATTTAAAAATATTATAATAATTTGACAAAACGTATTAAAAAATCTATAACTTTTAGATATTTTGGTTACATTTAACTACTAAAAATGTCGATGTTTTCTGCTTTAAAGCTTAACCGTTTGTGTTAAAAATGGGTTAAATTAGAGAACGATAATTTCGTGCTTAAGCAATGGATTTTAATGAATTTTATTTTCCTATGATTTTAATTTTTTAATAAATTGACAAATTATATCAAATTTTTGGAGTAATAAAACTATCATAACGTTAAGTGTTATCTCTTGAGCTGCTGTTGTTGTCTCGTCTAAAATTAAATATACATCATTTGATCCAATTGTAGTTTTTACTTTATTGATTATTAAATCATATGCTCTGGGCGCGAAATTATTGCTAAGTGTTTGCGGGTCAGGAGTGTTAAAATTTGATAAGTCAAATAGAAATTTACTTAAAACCTTATTCTTTAGTTTATCCAACGGAATATCTGCTGACATAAAGCAAACCAATACTTTTCAACATCCGATAGTTTTGAATTTTCTGAGTGATGCATAACACATATTTGCTTATTTCTAGGGGCTTTGTTAATTACACCCTGTTCATTAATTATTTATTAAATTTCAAAGCAATAAATAATTACAATACACGACAAAGTTTAATATTAATAAAAAATATTTTATTTTAAGCTGAATTTATAGAAACAATTAATTATTTAAAGTTTTATAGACTTTTGATTGCAGATCTCTTGCATAAGAGGCATACATGTGCAGTCAGTCTCCATCCAATTGTAAGCGATCTTATCCTCCAAACCGTTTAAATCCATTAAACAACTCATTAATCGTAAATACTTTGTCTTCGCCTCGGATTCAGAACCGTATTTGATTATTAAATAGCGTTGAAGTAAATACATGTATATATTCTGTTGTAATCTATAATAGAGTGGTAAGTATTTGCATAATTGCTGTTTAAAATTGCAGATTTTACCTGATAAGCTCTCGGGACATTAATTCCGGTCGATCAGGGTTAAAGAGTAAAATAGTGGTCAACTGTTAGTGAGTATAAATCTTTATATAATTTTTTGCATAAATAACACAACAATTAATTACCAAATCAATAACAATTGGGTCGGAATCCCATTGCCGGCCAATATTAGTGAGAAACGTGTGATAACTGCCATAAATATTACGTTTTTCAGCCTTTAATAGATCTAGCTTCAAAATCACACTATTATCCGCGTCCTATGTTTCATAATAATAATAATAATAATAACAACAACAACAGTCACGTTATAACATGACCATGCTCACTGGTCATAATTACAAACTTACCATTTGGTAGTTCCAGTACTCGTAATCATAATTAAAACACAAAACCGATCGCAACGCGCATATATCAAAGCAACCATATTTGATCAAGGACAGTTGGTCCGTATCGGACAACTGGTTAAACGCGGGCACGCATTTGGACATTTGCATAATGCCCTCGGTCACTCGTTCCAGATATATGGCCAACATCTTTGTGGTATTGCGTGAGCACTGGTTCCCATTGTTGAACTGTACGATCAGTTCGTTTTGACAACTTATGGTAATTTCGGTCCAATTCTGGGGCTGAATAGCGTTGGCCGCCGACAACAGTTCCCGCAAACGCGTGATCTCTGTTTCGGTAAAACTCGTGTCCATTGGATTCAATGGACGGCTAACCGACGGCGCAAATGACAGCTCCAACTCGACGGCCCTTTCGTATACCGATTTGTACTCACTTTTATACGGCATTAAATTATTGGCAATACTATCGCTATGATTGTTACCACTGTTTTGATTACTATTATTGCTGTTATAATTGCTTTTAGGGATAATATTGTTGTCTTTAATGATGGCCTCCAACTCATTGAAACGCGCTTTCAGTTTCTCATAATCACTCTCCAAGTGATCAAACTTTTTCAATACAGCCATCGATTCAACCGGTGCTGCACTGGTCTGAGGGTTGGCCGCTGTTATGACCGATGGCCGGGTGGCTGTGACGGCGCTGTTTACAGCCTTTCTCACCCGATTGGCCTCAATCTTATCACGTCTTCGCTGTATCTGTTCGGCAGTCATTATATTATCCTATTTTTGTAAAAAACACTATTTATTTATGAATCATAAATTATGATAAACTAATATTGGTCAAATAGGAACTCTCTGAGAATCAACTACCGGTACTTCTTAGCGTATATACAGAACTATGCAATTATTTTTATTATTTAACTCCATATTCATAGGCACCAGAATCTGAGTTTGTAAACATTGATTCAGTGGTTTACATACAGCAATGCTTTTAAAATATATCAGTCGGTAATAATTTTGTTAAATTTACAAAAAAAATAAGGCCTAGTAATGTGAACTTAAATAATTAAACTAATTTCATAATTTTAGCTATACACAAAATGCTCGACTCTCTGATGTTTCCATTTTAACCAATATTTTAAATTTAATTTTCTCACTATTTTCATGCCGTTTGCAAAACACTTTCTCAATCGACACGATTTGCATAATTTCCTACTTTTAATATCTATCCGACAGTTGCCGTTGAAATTACATTCATATTTCTAATCATTGAATAAATTTTATTAAAATATTAATTATTTAATTAATAAATGTTTCGCATTTTATTTATACCTCTATATTGTGGGCATTTCTCCTAAACATCACTTTACATGACTCGCACGTCAAGGCATTAAAATTGTAGCCTTAATTGAAAAATAAATTGAATTAATACACAACCATATGTATTAATATAACATTATGATCAATATTTAACTTATATTTAACTTACCATGAGATATATCACCGCAAATCACACACTTTTTAATAAAATTGTCATTATTATTATTATTTCCACTCATTTTTGGACATATTATATTGTGATAAATGTGATAGCTCAAATAGCACTAATAATGTCATTTATAAAAACATACAGTTATATTAAATTAATGTTAGATTATGTGATGGCATTGAAAAATAGTTTTCTAATGGCATTGAAAACTAACCGGTGATATCCTAGTGTATCAAAAGTTTGTTTTTATCTAATGTTTATGATAAAAATTCAAATAATGCGCTAGGAAAAGTTTCTTACAAACAGTGGTACCAACGTTTATCTGCGTGGAGTTTAGGGAGCTTAAAAAGGGTTTAGGTACCAACTTTAGGTTTAGGTATTTTTGTATTTAGGCAGTTTAAGTATCTCTATTTATGTATATTTCACCAGGATCGGTTAGTATCACTTCACACCGTCGCAATTCTTAGTTAAACATTATTCAATTTTACAACCATTATTAGATAATTAGCCTTACAGTGAGCCTTATTAGCCTTATTAATTCAAAATTTAATTTATACAGTGTTATGCAATATTATGCAAACGTTATGTTTTTTAAAATAAATTTTTATTTGAAAACTAACTAAAATAGTAAATAAATATTAAGCTTTTATGAGCTTTATTTAAGTTTTAGGGGGGAATTATCTCTGGGGGAAATGGCTAACCCTATTGATATTGGTATGTAAAAGTGCAGAATAGTTACCAGATGTCAAAATCCATGTCAAAATCGGCAAATGGCCAGAGACGTTTGAGTATTGGTCAATTTTCAAATCACGCGTCTATTGCTTATAGCATTGAAAAAAGGTGATTCACATAATGAATGGTCGATCACATGAACGTAATGCTATAAGCAATAGACGCGTGATTTGAAAATTGACCAGTACGCCAACGTCTCTGGCCATTTGCCGATTTTGACACGGATTTTGACATCTGGTAACTATTCTGCACATTTACATACCAATATCAATAGGGTTGGCCATTTCCCCCGGAGATAATTCCCCCTTAGTTTTATTTATTTAAGTTTTATAGACTTTTGATTGCAAATCTCGGTCATAAGAGGCATACATGTGCACTCAGTCTCCATCCAATTGTATGCAATCCTTTCGTCCAAACCATTTAAATCCGTTAAACAACTCATTAATCGTAAATACTTTGTCTTCGCCTCGCATTCAGACCCGTATTTGGTTAATAAATAGCGTTGAAGTAAATACATGTAAATATTCTGTTGTAACCTACAGTATAACAGCGCCGTAATTTTGGTGTAAGTAATTTAAATATATTTTCAACCTATCAAGCGTAAAATACAATTTCATCAAGTTACTTTTACCTAATAACTTCACGGTTCATTAGCCATTCTCGATCCGGATTGAATAGTAGTATAATGGATAACTGTAAATTCAAAACAATTATGATAATTTGCTACATAAATACTATAATAATAATAATTAATTACCAAATCAATGATAATTGTGTCGGAATCCCATTCGCGGCCAATATTAGCAATAAAATTACGATATCTGTCATAGAGGTTACGCTTTCCGTTTTTTAATAAATCTAGTTTCAAAATCACATTACTTTCCGTGTCCTATGATTTGTGTAGTAACCAAAACAAAATATCATTAACAAGGTGATCTGGGGGAGTGTTGGCGTAACAAACTTACCATCTGGAAATTCCAGTACTCGTGATCGTAATTGAAACACAAAACGGACCGAAGCGCGCATATGTCAGAGCAGCCATATTTGATCAGGGCGATTCGATCGTCCTCGGGCAATTGCGTAAACGCGGGCAAACACTTGGCCATTTGTACGGTGCCCTGAGTCACTCGCTCCAGGTACAGACCCAACATCTTGGACGTGTTGATCGAATCATGTATACCATTATTAAACTCGCTGATGAGTCTCCTCTGACACCATTCATTAATTTGGGTCCAATCCTGAAGTCGAATAGCGTTCACAGCGGTCACCAATTCATGCAAACGTGTCGACTCTACTTCCGTATAACTCATGTCCATTCGGTCCATAGGATTGATTGCGTGGCCGACGGACGGCGCGAACGACAGCTCCAACTCGACGGCCCTCTCGTATACCGATTGGTACTCACTTTTATACGGCATTAATTCATTAACAATATTATTGTTACTATCGTTATGAGTGTTACAGCAGTTTTGACTATTGTTATAATTATTATCATAATTGTTATTGACTGTAATATTGTTATTCTTGATGATAGCCTCCAACTCAGTGAGACGTGCTTTCAGTTTCTCATAATCACTCTCCAAGTGATCAAACTTTTTCAACACAGACATCGATTCAACCGGTGCTGCACTGGTCTGAGTGTCAGTCGACTGTATGACCGACGGCCGGGTGTTTGGGATTATGGTGTCGGTGTCCATACTTTTCTGCTCCCGATTGGCCTCAATCTTGCGAAGTCTTATCTCTTTTTGTTCGGCAGTCATAATACTCTCCTATTTTTTATTTACAAAAAAATATTTATGAGAAACTCATATAAAGTTTTGAATGACTTTTCTGACTATTTTCATGCCATTTATAAAACACTTTGTTAATCGACACGATTTGCACAGTTTCCTAGTTTTCATATCTATCCGACAGTTGCCGTTATAACTGCATCGATATTTCTTTGAGTAAAATATATGTAAATTTTTATGTAATTTATAATTCAGTTTTCAATTTATTAATACCTCAAAGTTGTGGGCATTTCTCCTGAACATCACTTTACATGACTCGCACGTCAAGGCATTGAAATTATAGCCTTAATAAATATACAACATTACGTAATAATTACTACTTTAGTTTTTATATTTTATAATTTAAGCATGTGTAAATTATTAAAAATATACATTAAATTAGGGCGGCTTACCATGAGCTATATCACCGCAAATCACACACTTTTTAATAAACTCGTCCGAAATATTGTTATTGTCACTCATTTTAGGACAAATAATGTAACAATTTTTTAAAACAAACTAATAATTACCTGATGTGTTAAACAAATAAAAAATATGTAATAAAACGCATAACAAAAACGTATAGTTACGTTATCATTGATAACTTATCAAGGATATAATAACTTATCTAATTAATATATTTAATATGTCGTTTAATATTAAAGTGAATTATCATGAGATGACATTGAAAATGAATTGAATAGATTTCTATTACTAATAAAATACTAATCAACGATAATGTAGTAAAAACTGTTAATGCTTATTATAATTTAATATACAATTGTCCTCTAGTTTATAATTTATTATTATATTATTTTAAAATCAAATTAATTTACTAAATAAAATTCTATATTTGTAGAATTGGTTAACATAATAAACATGATATGAATGAGAACATTTGATATTATAGTTAAAATTTTAATATACCCATAATATTGTTATTATTTTTATTGTTAAATGAAAATGATAAATTTCAAATATTCAGAATATTTGAATAAGCTGTAATGAAATATCTCAAGCAAACTAGATATAATGCACAAATATATAAAAAGAATGAATTTTTATCTTCTACATGATACCACAGTTGCCATTTGAAAAATATTATTTTTGTTTAAAAATGTTTAATAAGTTAAATAATTAAAAAACATAAACAAGTTTGTAATTAATAAATTTAAAAAACAATTTAATTATGTTTTTAGGCAACGGTTATGGAAACAGTGGTTTGGCTGCAAATCTCGTTCATAAGAGGCATACACTCGGACTCGTCGTCCAACCAATTGGTGGTCATCTTATCCTTCAAAACATGTAAATCAGATAAACAGCTCAATAGACGCAAGAATTTACTCTTTGCCACACAATCGGATCCGTATTTTATTAGTAGATATCTTTGAAATAGATGTATGTAAATGTGTTGCTGTAATCTATGTTACCGGGGAACAACAAATACCACGATCAATTAACTGATATCATTAATTTAATTAATTAAAACAATCCAAATACCTCACGAGTTCGGAATGTATAAGACCGGGACGATCAGGGTTAAACAGTATAATAGCTGTTAGCTAGATATCAGTATAAATTGTTAGATAATTTAATCAGGCTTAAAACTTAGATTGCTAAAAATAAATTACCAGATCAATAATATTGGTGTCTGATTCCCATTCGGCACACATTTTATCCAAAATAATTTTATGATTTTCATGAATATTTCGTTTGTCTTTCTTTAATAAATCCAATTTCATAACAACAGAATACTCGCAATCCTTTACAACATTAAATCAAAACATTAATTATATTTAAAATTATAACATTTCACACACAAAACACTACAATTAATTATATATACAATACATAATACACACCAACATTAGACTCCAGTACTCGTATTGAAAGTTAAAGCAAATAATGGCCCGAATTACACATATCTCAAAGCACGCGTGTTTGACCATGATGATCTGGTCATTCTCGCACATACCAACAAAGGCGTCAAAGTGTTTGGACATTTTCACTATGTTGGCAGTAATGCCCTCCACATATATAGCCGTAATACTGGATACATTACGAGGGCATTGGAGACCTGAGTTAAAATCCCTGATCACTTGGCGCTGGCACTCAAGGCTGAGGGCCGGCGGTGTGGCGGCCATTGACTGGGCGGCCGTCAAAAGTTCCCGAAATCGGTCGAACTCTAACTCGTTGAACGACATGAGACGGTCGCTGAGTGGACGCCCGATAGCAGGGGTTGTGAACTCCATGTCCACCACTTTCTGGTAGATATTGTACGAGATGTCTGTCCAGCGCCTATTCATGGCATACGACTCCAACTCTCGGAGTCGAGCTGTCATGAGCTCGTAGTTGTTGGTCATCGCTTCCAACTTCTTTATTACTGCCATCGATGCCAAAGCTGTGGACTCACCCGAAGAGATTGGGTCCGCACACGTGTCCAGTGAGGCCACGAGCGCCCGCACCTCCTCCTGGCGTCTGTGCTTTTTCTGCCGGTTGTGTTCAATCTTTTGAGCCCTTCTCTGCTTCTCCTCATCACTCATTATATTATCCTTTGTTTTCGTTAATTAAATAGTAATGTATTTTATTTAGTAATTAATTAAATGGATATTAATTATTGATTACCTTTTTCATGCCGGCGGCAAAACATTTGGCTAAACGACACTTTTTACAGTATTTCCTGTTTTTTAGATCAATGCGACAATTGTTACAAAAATTGCATTTTAATTTCTGTCATCAAAATAAATATTAATTAAAATTTTATAAACAATATATCGTTTGATGTGTTTATGAGATTTACATCAAAATTCTGAGCATTTCGTCTAAACATCACTTTACAGGACTCGCATGTGATTGCGTTAAAATTGAAGCCTAATTCACAAAATGAATTAAAATTAAATTTATTAATAACATTATTTTTTGAGATAACAATATTATTTACTAATATTAAAGTGCTAAAAATAATTATACAATACTGAAAAAATTTATAAAATTTAACATACCATAGGCTTTATCGCCACATATCACACATTTCTTGACAAACTCATCCTGGTCCATTGTTTTTAATTACAATTAATATTAATTTTTATAATATATGCATAAATATCACAAGAATATCTCAATTTCTCGAAAAGTTAATATGAATGTATTTTCATGCATTTAGTGTAGTTTAATTAAACCCTGTTTTATTATATCATAGTTATCATGATAAATACTATTGGTTACTAATTATCAAAATATAATTGTTCACTATTTATGTTTAAATATACAATACATTTAATAATAAATTAAAATTCATATAAAAATTGTTAATTCAAACTAGATATTTAATGATTACATCAGTTTTGGTAATAATTGCTAATAATTGGTAAACTACTAATACATGTACACGACTTTTCGTCAATAAATCAATACAAATATTTAACACATAAATTAGTAAATACTTATAAAATTAATTACACATTTATATCAATAGTGGTATACATATAAAAACTGTTATCACTAATAATTTATCAGTAATTTTACTAAAATATTACTTATAAATTAAGTGCAATACGAGTTTACTTTTAATTCAATTTTTATCTAGATTTTGTGTACCATAAACAATTATTAAGCCACATTTTAAAAAATAATTTCATAATAATTATTAATACGTTCAGGTGTGCATAGTCATTTTAAAAAATAATTTATTATACGGATTTAATATTAAAAGCTTGCTAAATATAACTATATAATCAATTAGGGATCAATAAGAACCTTGATAATGATTTTATTAATGATAAAATGTACATAGCTCAAATAAATATTTAGTTAATATACGGTACTGTAAAGGTAGTATTAAATGTTGTAACTTTTACTAACGAGAAAACATGCCATTGAAAAACAATTGCCAAATACGGATATAAAAAATAATGTAAAAATTGAAAATTAATTCCTACAAACAATAATTAATTATTATGATAGGTTTAATAATAAAAAATCTACTTTAGATTTATTCAAAGAATTTAATTGTATAATTTAATTTGTAATAATTATATTGAAAAATTTTTCACAAAATTTTAATTAATTAGATAAAACATTAAGTTTGTTATTCTGGTGTAGAGAGCAATTCTGTACATTATTTACAGTTAAAAATATCTTATTTTGTTTAAAATAATTTTTAGTAACAATTTTATTAAACACTTGTCGAGCGATTTGTGTGAACACAAGTATATTGAATCCAAACCATAGACTAATAACACTCGCCGTTAGACTAATGTATTCTTCGGCAGACATTTTCAATGATATCTCGTATACAGTCGTCGGCTCTGAAGTCAAGTCTATTTTAATGTAAAATAAATTATTGCTATTATTCTTGATGTTGTCCAAACGTCTATTAATATTATAGTAATAATGAACACATTTTTGTCGATAATTGCATTTATCGCTGCATTTCATAAACTTATTTTTGTTGTTTTTATCAAAATAATGACTTTTGGTCTCATTTTCATTCAAATATGTGTAATAATACAATATATTCTTGGGATAAAGAGTCTGATTACTACTCGTGTATAATAAAGTCCGAAGGCATGTATGGATGCACTCATCTATTTGAATATCATTTAGGCAATTTTCTAAGCGGTGGTTATTTTTGACAATTGTTTGCCTGTATGTGACAAAACTTCGGGTCATATTAACCACGTTTGTCAACATATATCCCGGACGCAGCACTTCGTATATACGGTGATCAATGAGTGAGTGAATGTGGAGAACGAGCTGATTGTCAGTTTGTAGCAAATTGGGGGCAATTTTAATCCAGAAAAAATGCATTTTCTGTCCATATGTTGGCCATATTGTCATACAATACCTGTTGTAATCAATGGCTTTTGTATAATTGTTACAAATACTAAATGTTTGGTTTGCGTAATAAAGATAACATTGAAAATAGTCCTTATTTAAAGTGAATGATTTAAATTGTTGCTCAATTGATAGACGATTAAAGTTTGCTACGTTTATAGTATTATTATGATCGGAAAAGCTTTGTTTTAAATGATGGTTAATTAGCGACATTTTATCTATACAGATAGTGAACGCCGTGTTTATTATATGCATATTGTTTGACTCGTATATGACATTAGTTGTGATTTCGTATGAAAAGTATAATAAACTTATTTTATA